CCGCGAAGCTCTGCCGGTCGGTTAAACATCGATCGAAGCGTTCGCGAGAGGAGAGGCCGTTCGCGGTGATCGCGTCCGCATAAAGAGCGTCGAATCGCCGGCGATCCATCGATCCTTTTATCGCGGCTCGTTCGTCTCCCGGCGATGCTCGTCGCCTCGTCTAGCGTCTTGGAATCTGGCGAGGGTCGAGAGCGTGCCGGAAAGACGGTAGATCAATACTCGGGCATCCAGTTTCCGCGTTCCTCCGTCGCATCGGTGGCCCAGGATCCCTTTCGCGGCTCGTATTTTCATTCCGTGATCAGCCTCGCCCCCCCCTCTCTCTCTCTCTCTCTCTCTATCTATCTATCTATCTATCTATCTATCTATCTCTCGCTGAAAGAGCGAGAAACGCTCGCCCTGTCAAAATAGAACGAGGATCGATGCATAGGCGCCTTCTTCCCTCTTCTCGTTCCCGCAAACTTGCCGTGAGATTGATCGACGTCGATCGTTTCGCTTTCCTCCGAGAGAATCATCTGTTCCCGACAAGGCCGGAGGAATCGATTGACGGATGACGAAGGGTTCGGCGAACTCTGGACACCCGGTGACCCGGCTACAGGAATTTCTCCCGCATTGTTCTTCTGCTTGAGCACGAGAACGTACAATTTAGGGAGAGGTGACGCGATTGTTCAAGTCTCGCATTTTTATTGTTGTTCAGCGCAAGCTGTTAGGCTTTGCAAGTTGTCCACTTTCGTCTCCAAGCTGAGGAACTGAGAGAAATAACCGCGTTCTCTCTGTCTCGCAGTTTCTTCTCTGTTATCGGAATCAGAGGCGCCTCGTATCGCCGACTTTCGGCCGAAGACTCGCGAACGGCGCTGCAGGAATTAGACGGCCGATATCCGACGACAAAAGCCAGCCCCGGCTTGCCGAACCGTCGCTGCTCGGCCGACTCCATAATTCATAAGGGTGGAGAGACGGGGCCGGGGTTTCTTTTATTCATCGCGGAGTCCTATCGCGTCGACTGGACGTGACCGATGAGTTACCGTGTCCTCCTGCCATCCGCGACCCGTTTCCATCATGCCGTGCACCGGCTTACGCTCGTACCAGTCAACAAGTGATACCTATCGATCCTTCTCGACCGTTTCTCACTGCTAACCCCCTTTCCGCGGCCTCCTAGGCCTCTTCGCCGCACCCTTTGCCCTCGAGCCGCGCTCCGCGGAACTCGGAAGTCTCCTCTTCCAGGAGATACTCTTCCTGGAAAATCTGCTCTCAAACGTCTCCCAGCGGCCGATCTTCGCGGCGTTCGATCTTCGCAACGTCTGATTTATAACCTTGACCCTTCTCGGATCGGCGAAGGGTGTCAAGGAGCCGGCACCCTCCGCGAAAGGGCGAAAGTATCCAGCAGGCAGTGCTTCGAGTGCCGAACAGTCGACGCGGTTCGAAGTTCGTCGAATCGACGGCGTTCGATAATCGCGGGGGTTCGATAAACGTGACTCGACGGTGCCGGCTTCGGGAAACCGAGAGAGCAAGAGAGAGAGAGAGAGAGAGAGAGAGAGAGAGAGAGGNCCCCCCTCTCTCTCTCTCTCTCTCTCTATCTATCTATCTATCTATCTATCTATCTATCTCTCGCTGAAAGAGCGAGAAACGCTCGCCCTGTCAAAATAGAACGAGGATCGATGCATAGGCGCCTTCTTCCCTCTTCTCGTTCCCGCAAACTTGCCGTGAGATTGATCGACGTCGATCGTTTCGCTTTCCTCCGAGAGAATCATCTGTTCCCGACAAGGCCGGAGGAATCGATTGACGGATGACGAAGGGTTCGGCGAACTCTGGACACCCGGTGACCCGGCTACAGGAATTTCTCCCGCATTGTTCTTCTGCTTGAGCACGAGAACGTACAATTTAGGGAGAGGTGACGCGATTGTTCAAGTCTCGCATTTTTATTGTTGTTCAGCGCAAGCTGTTAGGCTTTGCAAGTTGTCCACTTTCGTCTCCAAGCTGAGGAACTGAGAGAAATAACCGCGTTCTCTCTGTCTCGCAGTTTCTTCTCTGTTATCGGAATCAGAGGCGCCTCGTATCGCCGACTTTCGGCCGAAGACTCGCGAACGGCGCTGCAGGAATTAGACGGCCGATATCCGACGACAAAAGCCAGCCCCGGCTTGCCGAACCGTCGCTGCTCGGCCGACTCCATAATTCATAAGGGTGGAGAGACGGGGCCGGGGTTTCTTTTATTCATCGCGGAGTCCTATCGCGTCGACTGGACGTGACCGATGAGTTACCGTGTCCTCCTGCCATCCGCGACCCGTTTCCATCATGCCGTGCACCGGCTTACGCTCGTACCAGTCAACAAGTGATACCTATCGATCCTTCTCGACCGTTTCTCACTGCTAACCCCCTTTCCGCGGCCTCCTAGGCCTCTTCGCCGCACCCTTTGCCCTCGAGCCGCGCTCCGCGGAACTCGGAAGTCTCCTCTTCCAGGAGATACTCTTCCTGGAAAATCTGCTCTCAAACGTCTCCCAGCGGCCGATCTTCGCGGCGTTCGATCTTCGCAACGTCTGATTTATAACCTTGACCCTTCTCGGATCGGCGAAGGGTGTCAAGGAGCCGGCACCCTCCGCGAAAGGGCGAAAGTATCCAGCAGGCAGTGCTTCGAGTGCCGAACAGTCGACGCGGTTCGAAGTTCGTCGAATCGACGGCGTTCGATAATCGCGGGGGTTCGATAAACGTGACTCGACGGTGCCGGCTTCGGGAAACCGAGAGAGCAAGAGAGAGAGAGAGAGAGAGAGAGAGAGAGAGAGAGGCGAGAGTAACCGGCGTAAGTATCGATCCAGGAAGCCACACCTCGACGCAGCGCGACTCGGTGACCCCGCAGTCACGCGTTTTCGCGATTATGCTCGCGTTCCTCGTGGCCCGGGTTCTCTCAGACGGGCCCCGCGTCGATGATCGCGTTCGTCTCTACCTAGAAACGATCGAGAATTGTTAGCAAAACGTTTGCGCGAGGAACAACGGAACCCTTCGGACCGGGATCGAGGCTGCGAGGAAGATTCTCTTCGTCGTCCAGAACAGCTTCGCTGGAACGACGAGGCTCGCCTCTTCGCGCAGATTCGGCCCGCGGCCCCACTTGACATTAATTAAGGCCGGATCGTTGAATTGTATCGCGGTAGATGTCTCTTCGTTGACCTTAATGAACGATCGAGAAGAAGTGTCGCCGCGATCGAAAAGCTTCCGTCCACGCGGACGTCTTCGCGAAATATTCTCGATACGTTCTTCCAAGAGCCTCAAGCACCCTCTAGAGCACACCATAGCACACCATAGCAAATGGTCGGTTGTAACAGCTTGCCGTGCTTCGGCGAGTGCGACTCGTGATAGGGATTCCCAGTAATTACCTGCCGGACAAAGGGTTAAGCGTTCGAGCAAGGTAAATACACACAGTAAATATAAATAGAGTAAATTCTCCGTAATTTTTCTTCAGCTTGTAAATAAAACTGGACAATTTAGAAAGGGGAGACGCGATTATTCGAGCCTCGCGACTCATTTTTATAGTCACCGATGCTCAACAATTATAAAAACGAATCGCAAGGCTCGAATAATCGCGCCTCCTCTTCCAAAATTGTCCACTTTCGTTTGCAAGCTGAAGAAAAATTATGAAAAATTTACCGTGCTCCTTTTCTCCCAAGAAACGATTAGAAGAAACTGCAATCACGGTATCCGCGGCGAAAATGGTGCGGCAGGGGGGGAGGGGGTTGACGGAAGCCTCGAACGTCTCGCGTTCTTTGGCCCCTTTTTCGGCGCTGGTTGGTTAATTGAAAAATGAATGACGCACGTACGGACGCGGCGCGAGGTAAAAAAGTGGAGTTAACAAAGGAGCGGTCCTTCGGATGGGTAATTGGTCCCCGCACAGCTCGGAGCACATTCGGACAAAAATCCGCGCCCCTAATGGCGTCGTTCGTATGCGCCGCGCCGGCCACGGCCACGGCTCGAGCGCAATTTGTTCAACGACCGTGAAGATCGTTTGCAGGATACCGCGACAATTTTCCATCCCCGTCTTCGTTCCGCGACATTCTACCCTGTCGCGTCCGCGTATCCGCCACTTTGCTCCCTACGGAGCAAACACTCGGCCCGCGCGCGATGAAAAACGGCCGGTCGTTAGGGGACGGTCGTTCGCCTCGATGCCGCGTTACGCGAACATCGTCCGCGTTTCCGTTTGCGGAAACCGCGGCTCTTGAGCGAGCGAGCCTCCGAAAACTGGGCCTCCGTAGACTGGGCCTCCGAGAACTGGGCATCCGTAGACTGGTCCTCCGAAAACTGGGCCTGCGAAAATTGGGCCTCCGCGACGCTTTCATTCGAACGCGATCGAATCGGGCCGCGTCGATCGGCCGCGAATCCTTTGCAAGATCTTCGACGGTCGACGCGATTATTCGCGAAAATTGCGAAGCGAATTGCGAACGTAAAAGAAAACTGCGGCATACTTTGACCCTTCCGAGCAGGCTGTAACGTTACAAATGGCAAGAACTACGGCGAATGCGAAAATAGAAGCCGGGAGGCGCTCCGGACCGCTAAAGGTTCAATTAGACGCGCGGCTGTAATTATAAGAGAGTGGGATTCATTGACTCTTACCACTTGACGCGATCACCGCCGCGCGAGCATTAATTGGCCGCGGAAATGAATCGCTGGTGTGCGAACTAATAAATAGAACAGAATCACGGTGATACCTCGATCATGCTCGCGCCGAGATAGAGCGCTGATTTTTTCAATAAATATCGTTGCAGCTGGATCGTTATAGATCAAGCTATTTTTTTACGCGAACTCGTTACTTTGTCTTTTCATGACTTTGCATTGTATTCGTGCGACACAAATGCCATTTGTATGATCTTCTAATAGCATTTGCATCATAAATGCACGAAAAATCCGCTGTCTATCAAGAAGCGACACAATTTAAACGAGATAAAGAGATTAGATTCGCGCTCGAAAAAGCGCGGCTTGCGCGATGCTCTCGACTAACAGTTTCCCGTTGCTTTCTGTTCCAGTGAGATTACACGACAGCATACAGGAGGAGAACTGCCATTACCTCGTGTTTGACCTGTAAGTAGAGCCGACGCGTAACATTAATCATCGCTAGGATCGAAAGTTCGTAATCGAGTCGAACCGGGCTCTCCGCGGGTCGGTCCGCCCGGCCCCACAGGTCCCCGCAGGCCCGATGCGAGTCATTCAGGGGAGTCAGTGGCGGTCGGGAGCCAACTTTAATCTAATTCCTATCGGAATTGGCCCGCCAACCTGCCTCCTTCCGATCGGAGAATCCCGGTGGTTAAAATTCGCGTTGGCTCGAATGATCGAAGCCCCGGGCTACGTCGGGCCCGTCGGCCCTCCCGAAAGCCCGAAAACCCACCGCGAGCGAGTCTCCAGTCTCCTTTTGTCCGCTCCCCGGAGATTAACTTGCTATTGCAAGCTCGCTACCAATTTTCGCGATTTTATTCGGCCGGAGCAACCGGCGATTTCCGGATCCTTTGTTTATCAAACGCGCTTTATCTCCGCGTTTATCTCCGCTGTCCCGAACAAACTGTCCACGAACCCGCGTTAATTTATCAATGACAGACTTTCGATCCTAACAGCTGACCCTTGCTCGTTGACCCTTGACCGCAAAGATGGCGGTTGATCCGAGCGCAAGGATCGGGTCTGGCCATTCGCGCGTCGTTCCACTGAATTCAGAAGAACGCCCGGCCATTTTGTCGCACTTTTCTGAATGCCGTGGAACGAGTTCTGTTTTTTTTCTCGATCGATGTGTCCACAACGTGGACAGAGATACATCACCTGGTCCGGTTTTGCAGAGTTACCGGCGGAGAACTGTTCGAGGATATCGTCGCGCGGGAGTTCTACAGCGAAGCGGACGCCTCGCATTGTATCCAACAAATCCTGGAGAGCGTACACCACTGCCACCACAACGGAGTCGTGCACAGGGACCTGAAAGTACGTAAAAAGAGACGAAAAGGGCAACGAATTGTGCCGTGTTTAGGCCGATCGTGCCGGCCGAAAGGAATAGCTCTCGGCGCCGCGACGCCTCGCGTCGAGCCGTTCGAACGGGTCGATGATCGTTTCCAGATGTTTTGGCCGATTGATGACGTACAGGTCACTTCAACGACGATCGAACCTTCGTTCTAGGTGTAGAGATCGCGATCGGGGCAATCCGGGGTCGGAGATCGTCATCGATCGCCATTAATCTTCGATCATCGTAATTAACGCGTTCGCTGCCAGAGATAGAGTTATTGTATTTATTCGCGCATTAAATATGTCGTATCTTCTGATCAAATGTGAGAGAAATGCCGTCAAAAAGAAGCTGTAAATTCTCTAAATATCGTGCTATGCGTTGCAAATTTTAAATAATTTTATTCGCAAGATTCATTATATTACACTGGACGCTGCCACCGGGCTTGTTAATTTCTATAATTACTTGCTTCGATCGTCGTAACCGGCTCGCGGATTTTGCGCACCTATTGCAGGAATTAGTACATCAAATTTCAAACGTCAGAGAAATTAAAACAATTAATATCGAATATTATTTGCAACTTATTGAAATAATTGAAGCTGAAGCTATTGATAAAGCTAATCTTTATTTTGCCAGCGAGCTTTAAAATTGAATCGAGCACAGTTCGCATAAACGACGACACCTGTATTTCGAATGTTCGCGTAATAGCAACAACATTGTTCGAACGAAAAAAATGTGGAACACGGTGGATTTAGCGTCGAGAGATCGTCCGCTTTGAAGCGTCCGGTACTCCCTTCCGTGGAATTCAAATTGCTGGAAATTCAGTTGAGAGAGTCGTCAAGAAAACGCGGGTGGCAGACGAAACGAGGGGAAAATTAATCCGTCTTTCGACGAAGGAAAAATAAGAGAGAGAGAGAGAGAGAGAGAGAGAGAGAGTGAGCGAAGGGGTGAAGAGAGGAGAAAGAGCAAAAGGGGCGCAGGAAAAGTGGCGTTTCATGAAAAACTGAAAAAGTCGCGCAGATGTTGGGCCAACGATGTGTGTCAAGCATCTCGCGTGTACAAAGCGGTCCAAAAACCGTGCTCGGCTTTTCATTTAGCGAAACCTTTGGAAAATGAAGCAAAGGGGAGAGACGCCGACGCGTATATTTCCCTTTTGGAGGAGTTGCGACACGATTTTCGGAGCACCCTGTACTCGCGCGGCGCCGCGAATTGATCCGCGGCAGGCTCGCGTAAATCCGTGGACGTAAGGCGAGCCGCATATTTCCCGCTTCCAGATATCGTGCTTTACAGTTTCAAGCGTCGATATCTGCTCGGTAAATCGCGGCGCGACGTCCCTAAGCTCGTATTTTCCATCGGAAACTTCTTCTCCGCCCGAATACGATTTGCGCCCTTATTCCGACGCATTGTCGACTCCGCCGAAAGACAGCCCTTCGCTTTCGATCGCGCGCGCTTCCTCGACGAAACGCGCGTTCCAGTTTAATTCCTTAAGCGACTAAACGGTGGCTTAATAATCGCGTTGCTCGATAATAGAGTACATTCAAGACCAAATCGTGTCCGAATCAAATGTTCGGTTCCAATTAACCTATTTACCATTTTTCCGTTAAACAAAAGAACTGTTTAGTGAACCACTTAATAATAGAAAAATATGATTTACAATTCTCGCATAGATTCTCGAATATGCAAAATATTTGATACATTGGCAATAATTTGGCAATAATTATCGATGTGTTATTAATGTATCGATAGAATATCATATCGAGTAGGCAAGCGAACATTAGCCAATCGAACGACACGCGTAAACGCGACGCGATCCGTGCGGAAGCGAAGCCGACATATAGATCGCCGACGAGTCCCCATTTCCTGTTTCAGCCCGAGAATCTGCTGCTGGCGAGTAAGGCGAAAGGCGCGGCTGTGAAATTAGCGGACTTCGGTTTGGCGATCGAGGTGCAGGGCGACGCACAGGCATGGTTCGGTAAGTGGACGTTCGTAAACTACAGGCGTCGGACGCGTTTGCACGTTATCGCGATGGAGATTTGACCGGCGGCGAATTTTCCGTCTGTCCGGCCACCCCCGCGCAATTTTTCCGCATCGTTTAACGCGTCGCGACGTCGGCACCCTTTATGGCTCGGTCTCGTTCTCCCGTCTCCCTACCGTCGCGAAACGCTCCCTTCCTCTCCCGAAGTCCTGAGTGATTTTTTTCACGTCGCCGAATCCGCGACCCCGAATATGGCGAATTCATGGCGATTCGCTGGCGAGTCCGCGGCTAAAGAACGCCGCGAGTCGCAACTTGCAGAAAAATGTCTAATTAATGCATTGATTCGACACTTTGAACGCGTTCTATGGACCGAAGGGAATTTAAGGCGATTCGAAAGATTTAGGATCGCAAGCATTAGCGATCCTAGGTTCGAGCGATCACGTCTCGGAGTTGAAAGGTCGCGAGCTGCGGCGTTCTTCCGCGAGCCGCGGAAGCGTTCGGTGACCTCTCGCGGTGCCGCGGAAATGTTCGGTGACCTCTCGCGGCGCCACCACGGGGTCAACTCGACCGCGGGGATCGATAGGATAGCGTAGATCGTCGCGCTAAGAGTGCGGCTCACGTAAGAATGAACCTGTGAAATGATCTATGGGAAAGGTTTCGCCGGGACGCCCGGTTACCTCAGCCCGGAAGTGCTCAAGAAAGAGCCCTACGGCAAGCCGGTGGACATCTGGGCATGCGGTGTCATCCTCTACATCCTCCTGGTCGGTTATCCGCCGTTCTGGGACGAGGACCAGCACCGGTTGTACGCGCAGATCAAGGCTGGATCCTACGACGTAAGGCACCCATCCATCCCTCCACAGCAAAAAAAAAACATTGTTCGACGCGCCCGTCGTTCCCTCTTCCTCGCGAACCCTGTCCCCTGTTTCTCGAAAGCGGAACGGCGGTGCTTCCGTCGTTCTTTCTCGCGAGAAACAGAGCGCGCGGTTCACACGCTGCTCTCTGATCGTCTCTCGTTGGTGTTGAAACCGATAGTATCCCAGTCCAGAATGGGACACCGTCACGCCGGAAGCCAAGAACCTGATCAATCAGATGCTGACGGTGAACCCGAGCAAAAGGATCACCGCCAGCGAGGCACTCAAGCACCCATGGATCTGCGTAAGTCGACCCTCAAGTCAACCTATTATCATTATTATGATTATTATTGTTTGTTGTACACGGCTGAGAGAATGCATTAGCCTCGACAGAAACGCATTCGCCTTAAAATTCGGTTAAATCGGGACTTCACGGATCAGCTGCAAGCAAATATCGCTGCAATGTCGCCGTTGATAACGCCGAATACAATTTTTATTGCAGTCAAATTTAGTAAAAGCGATCGATATTAACCCTTTGCACTCTGAGGCACTGCTAAAATTGGTTATATCACGTTCCAAGGTTTCAAATTCTTACATTAACAAAGTTCAGATTTAAGGAAATTGTTAAAAGTGTAACCGTTGTGTAAGTCGCGAGACTCAATTTCGCGTGCATAAAATGCACTTTGTATAAAATGAAAATACTGTAAGTCAGAAAAATTATTTCAGATTTACAATTAAAATAGCTTCGAGTGCAAAGGGTTGATACCTGATTCTTGTACACCATTTTTACTCGTCTTCGCAATGTTTCTTTGCACTTTGTTCAGAGATATGAGCTTCTACCTATCTAAGAGTTCGACTACGCGTTGATTCATCGATCGAAAGATCCCGTTAAAAATCCTGATAAAAATGCGCGGTCCGAAAGGAGTATGAGCGCCGTTTTTTTTGTCGGGTTCTCGGTGACGACAGGTTGTTTTCTCGTGTTGCAGCAACGGGAGCGTGTCGCCTCGGTCGTCCACAGGCAAGAGACCGTGGAATGTTTGAAGAAATTCAACGCAAGGCGCAAATTAAAGGTGAGTGGCTGCCGAAAAGCTGTTCTAATTAAACGATCCGCCGATCGGGCTCCGCCGGGGCTCGTAATTAGTGGACGGTCACGGGGCCGAGGGTTCCTCGATTAATGAATTTCAAGGGGAAGAGACCCAGCCGCGTCACGGTTCCGCGACTCCGGCAGAAACTACCCGGCGAAACTATAACGATTACACGCGCGAGTTTCGACGCTCGAGATGTCGCGACGCTTCGGGGCTTGTTAATTAAGAATTATTTCGATGCGGAGCGTCGTCGAAATTCTTGGCCGGGACGTTCTTCTCGTTGCGGACGCGGAAATCGTAATGTCGTCGCACTTGATGTTAAACGCNCAAAAGGATCACCGCCAGCGAGGCACTCAAGCACCCATGGATCTGCGTAAGTCGACCCTCAAGTCAACCTATTATCATTATTATGATTATTATTGTTTGTTGTACACGGCTGAGAGAATGCATTAGCCTCGACAGAAACGCATTCGCCTTAAAATTCGGTTAAATCGGGACTTCACGGATCAGCTGCAAGCAAATATCGCTGCAATGTCGCCGTTGATAACGCCGAATACAATTTTTATTGCAGTCAAATTTAGTAAAAGCGATCGATATTAACCCTTTGCACTCTGAGGCACTGCTAAAATTGGTTATATCACGTTCCAAGGTTTCAAATTCTTACATTAACAAAGTTCAGATTTAAGGAAATTGTTAAAAGTGTAACCGTTGTGTAAGTCGCGAGACTCAATTTCGCGTGCATAAAATGCACTTTGTATAAAATGAAAATACTGTAAGTCAGAAAAATTATTTCAGATTTACAATTAAAATAGCTTCGAGTGCAAAGGGTTGATACCTGATTCTTGTACACCATTTTTACTCGTCTTCGCAATGTTTCTTTGCACTTTGTTCAGAGATATGAGCTTCTACCTATCTAAGAGTTCGACTACGCGTTGATTCATCGATCGAAAGATCCCGTTAAAAATCCTGATAAAAATGCGCGGTCCGAAAGGAGTATGAGCGCCGTTTTTTTTGTCGGGTTCTCGGTGACGACAGGTTGTTTTCTCGTGTTGCAGCAACGGGAGCGTGTCGCCTCGGTCGTCCACAGGCAAGAGACCGTGGAATGTTTGAAGAAATTCAACGCAAGGCGCAAATTAAAGGTGAGTGGCTGCCGAAAAGCTGTTCTAATTAAACGATCCGCCGATCGGGCTCCGCCGGGGCTCGTAATTAGTGGACGGTCACGGGGCCGAGGGTTCCTCGATTAATGAATTTCAAGGGGAAGAGACCCAGCCGCGTCACGGTTCCGCGACTCCGGCAGAAACTACCCGGCGAAACTATAACGATTACACGCGCGAGTTTCGACGCTCGAGATGTCGCGACGCTTCGGGGCTTGTTAATTAAGAATTATTTCGATGCGGAGCGTCGTCGAAATTCTTGGCCGGGACGTTCTTCTCGTTGCGGACGCGGAAATCGTAATGTCGTCGCACTTGATGTTAAACGCTTGTTTAATAGCACGGTTTATTGTAAAATCTCTGTTTGTTATCACTTCCTCCGTAACAATGGCGTCGATCGTCTTTTTCCGAAGGCGTCGCTCCGAGACCGACGGAAAACGCGAGAATAAGTTGCGATAGTTCCACGTCGACTTCGAATCACTGGACAATCCGATCTAACAATCTTCGTTGACCTCTCTGCTGAAGGGTTGAGCGTCCATCGCGACGCAACAATGGATCGTTTGCCGAAGATTCGAGCGGATCCATGGATCGCGCGCCGAAGCCTCCAGCATTGAGCGATGGCCGTCGGTTCGTTTGCGTATCATTTCGATGATGTTTGGCCTTGTTAATCAATCGCGAAGCACAACGGAGCTCGTCCGGTGCAATAACGAAACCAGGAAGAGTCCAGCCGGCCGATTAACTGCCGAATAAACGGAATCGATTCCGCGTCGCTGCGCCCGTCCCCGTGGCGCCCCTCGGTGCCCCTCGGCGCCCATCGCACTCCCCTCATGGTCGCGCCGGGATCGACAAACTCTAGAAACTCGCAGTTTACAGTGCACAAAATGTTCCGACACTCTTCCGCCGTCACTCGATTACAGCCAGAAGAGTTAAATGAAATTTCCGGCGCCGCTGGGACCGTCGATCGACCCGACAAAATGGCGGACGGACAAAAGCGAATTCGATTTCGAGTTTCGGGAACGGGTTGCCCGGGCTCGCCGAGCGATCTCGAAAACTCTCATCTCGATGAGAGAATTCTTCCTTTCGATTTATACAGATTTTTTTTGTTTAATTGTCGAGCAGTGACCATCGGCGTTCCATGTAAACAATAGCTATAATACGGAATTTATTTCCACGAATTTATTATCGCAACGAATGCTCCTATCAACAAACCGAGCGAATCAGTTTTTTACGAGAATGTTTTTCTAAGCAAAGTTGACGCTAAGATCGTCGCATATTAAATTTCATAATATTCTGTCATCATTTTATACGCGGTCGACAGATCGCGAGACACGATCAAAAGGGTTCCACGGTCTCAATAATTCGAAAATAAAAGACAGGAAACCGGTGGTTCGACCAGCAACGGTTCAGCGTTAAAAACAATGGTCGCCGATCTCTCCGTCGGCGGCAGAGGAGCCTCTTTCATCGCGAATTCGTGGATCCCCGCTCGCCCGTCTGCTCCCGATCTCCTCGACGCCTGTTGCAATTGTGTATGCACGAGCTCGAATTGCCGTCGGAATCGCGCGACACTCGATCCAGTGAGTGCAACAGTCGAGGTTGCGAGTGCCGGGAAGTCGCGGGAGTGGCTCGCGGTGTCTGAACGAGTTCGTTTGCCGGTGTCCGCTCGCGTCGAAGATCGCGTCGATTCCGCGCGATCCCGTGCTCTCCAGTGATTACCCAGGCGAGATCACGAAACAGCGGTCGGTTCGTCGAATCGCGACGGATCGTCGGAGAATAAACGAAGAAAAGATCGCAGCGCGGAACAGAGCAGTTTCCATGTTCCGCGAGGGCGCGGAGAGAGTTTCGAGTGCCTCGAAGTGCCGAAGCGGCGGCGACGGCGACGAGCCGTAATGCGATTCATTGGCTTCTGAACGAAGAACGAAACGGGCTGCTGGGTCTATTCGTTCCCTCGAGTGTCGTCGAGCTTAAGTCGCGAGGCGGAGGATTACAGTCGCGCGGCGCGACGCGATTCGGCTCCGGACGGGTTTCATTTTCGAGCCCGAGGAATTTCGATGCGGCCGCCCGCCCGCCTGTCCGCCGCCTCCTCGTTCCGCTAATTAAATATCGAATTTTAAAGCGCAATTCATTAGCCGGCTTCCGCGAGGGAGATCAACAACGGCTTATCGGCCGCCGTCCGTCGGAACGGTCCGCTTCGCCGCCGAGCCTATCGCGCCCTAAATCATTTATTTTAGACCTCCCGGCCGTGTTCGATCGCAACGTATGCTGAAATCGAGCGATTTATTCGATTATTTTCTATCAAAGAGGATTTCTTTTCGTACCGAAAAGAGATACAGGGAGCTGGTCGGAAGAACCTAGATCGGATTTGTAATTAAATTGGCTTCGATTGACCCTCGGTTTCCGGTGACCCGGTCCACGTCGTAGCGAAAGAGATAGGATTTTTTCGGGTCGATTGCGTCATTCGATTCGGTCGTTAGACGCGTAATATTATTCACGGGCGCGTGATGTCGGTCGCCCCATTAATAATAGAGCTGACAATAGGCACGGTCATTTAGGGGACGAAGCCGATAAGGCGACGCTATCGGCTACCTGCAGAGCCTCGTCCGTCTTCTACGTGGCAGTGATTAAGCGAGCCTTGTAATAGGCATTCGCATAAATAACAGTCGCGTCCTCGTCTTCCCCTCCCTCGATCGGGTAAACAGAGTTTTTCGCGTTTTCGTGCGAGATCGATGTCGTCCGCAGTCGAACGCGGTCGGCCGTACGGTACGCTCTCGGAACACGCGATCGTTCCATTAGGAACGAATGTGATTAGTATTTGCGGTTAATGCCGGCTTCTTCGACGCCGTGCGGGGACCGGCACGCGCGCTGCTCGATGCGTTTCCTCTTAATTAATTCGCGCTGGGAATTGCGCTTCGATCGCGCGGCGCTCGTTCCTCGCCGCTCCGCGCGGCACGCTCGCTCGTTTTTGCGCGGCTAAATACTTCGAAAAATCGGCGATGCTGTGCGGGATTTTTTATCTCGAGTCCGAATTAACGGAGATCGGGGCCTCGGCTCGCAATTTTGATTTATGACGAACGGACGCAGTCGCTCGATCGAAACGCTCCGCCGCGAGAAGGTGCGCGTCGCGACGGTGAGACTCGTCGTCGTTAAAGTGAACAGTGCGAAGCAACTGCGACGGAAACTCGGCCGACGGAAGCAACGGCGACGACGCCGACGACATGAAGGGCTTGAAGAGTAGATTCTCGTTGCGCAGGCAACACCAGCAACCAGTCGTTCCAGAGGTATTTCCAGTCTCTCTCTCGTCGCGTCCCATTAATAATCAACGAATCATTGAGCAATTCTTGGCGTCGCGTCGCGTCGCGTCGCGCTCGCTATCCTCCGACCATTAACGAGAATAAATAAATAAACGGACCGGAAACCGGAAAGAAATATCGACGACTCGAACAATCCGTGGCTGGCCTTCTCTCGCGATTTTTCTTAGGAAATATTATGCAATCGGAGCTCTTCCGATGCTCTTGAATCGTTTTGGATTCTCTTGATTCCTCTTGAATCGTTCCGAATTGTTCCGACTCGTCTTCACTTATTCCGAATCGCCTGAAATCTGTTTGACTCGTCTTGAATCGTTAAGGATTGTCCTGACTCGCCTTCACTGGTCTTGAACCATCTTGAATAGCCTTGAATCGCTTTGAATCGTCTTGAATTATCTTGAATCGCCTTGAATCGTCTTGAATTATCTTGAATCGCCTTGAATCGTCTTGAATTATCTTGAATTGTCTTGAANACGACGCCGACGACATGAAGGGCTTGAAGAGTAGATTCTCGTTGCGCAGGCAACACCAGCAACCAGTCGTTCCAGAGGTATTTCCAGTCTCTCTCTCGTCGCGTCCCATTAATAATCAACGAATCATTGAGCAATTCTTGGCGTCGCGTCGCGTCGCGTCGCGCTCGCTATCCTCCGACCATTAACGAGAATAAATAAATAAACGGACCGGAAACCGGAAAGAAATATCGACGACTCGAACAATCCGTGGCTGGCCTTCTCTCGCGATTTTTCTTAGGAAATATTATGCAATCGGAGCTCTTCCGATGCTCTTGAATCGTTTTGGATTCTCTTGATTCCTCTTGAATCGTTCCGAATTGTTCCGACTCGTCTTCACTTATTCCGAATCGCCTGAAATCTGTTTGACTCGTCTTGAATCGTTAAGGATTGTCCTGACTCGCCTTCACTGGTCTTGAACCATCTTGAATAGCCTTGAATCGCTTTGAATCGTCTTGAATTATCTTGAATCGCCTTGAATCGTCTTGAATTATCTTGAATCGCCTTGAATCGTCTTGAATTATCTTGAATTGTCTTGAACTGTCTTGAATCGCCTTGAATCGCTTTGACTCGTCCCGACTCGTCTTCATTTATTCTTGAATCGTTAAGAATCGTCCTGACTCGTCTTCGCTCGTCTTGATTCTATTTTATATGCTTTATTTCATCGTACGCGATGTATAAAGAGATGGACCGCTGGTAAGAAAATCGATCAAGTTCACGCGATGATAACCTGTATAAAATCGAGAACGGTATAATCGCTGAAAGGTTTCGACAGACCGATCGATCGATCGAGAATCGCGGTCTCGGACGGACGTTGCACCAGTTTTGAGTCGTCCTGTAGGAATCGAGCGAGCAGCGGAACCCCGCAGCGGGCCGCAATGCATCAAATGCAACGGGAACAAGAAGCAGCCTGCGTTCAGAAACCCGAGTAGAGGCCGTAAATATCAATCAAGAAACACGAGACGCGAATGCGACGCGACGCGGCGGTCGGGTGACGAGAACAGCGGAAAATAAAAAAAAAATAATAATAGCAGCGGACGGTTTCGCGAAAACCGAACGAGAAAGCGAGAAAGCTGTAGAGAGTGAGCGAGTAGGAGGGAGACGGAAGAGGGAAATTGAGAGAGAAAGAAGTGGGGTAACTCGAGCTTTGTTATTCATTCGAGTCGACGAATGGCGCAATAACGCCGCGTAACAGGTTAAGTATCGCGGCTCTAATTAACTCGACTTTCGATCGCGGCTGATGAAAACTCCGGCCAGCAGAAGGCCGAGAACAGACGCAGGCAAAGGGGTGAGGGGGATGGAAGCTATCAAACTAGTTTAATTGCAATTTTATTTAGTCCGGTACACGTTCTGGAACGGGTTAATTTCCCGCGGCGACGGAGATCCAAAGACGTCGCGCGACGCGATGCGATCTTCAACGCCATTTTTACGGAGCCGATCGCCTGACAACCCCTCTTCCGAAATTCTATTCGTTCGTTGCATATTTATTCGTGAATTTCAGAACATAATTCCGCAGGTCTCGCGTATCCAGAAACTATCGTCTTTGTCAACAATTCGCAAACGACGTACGGAATTCGCGCGAGAAAGAATCGCCGAGTTCAGCTCTATTCGAAAGCGATCTGTCAAAGAAAAGGAAAGAAAAGGGAAGAAAAGAAACGATCGCCGCGTGGTTGCGAGAAACGTCGTAAATTACCGAATAAATTATAGCGTACGCTAGGAAACGGAGAGAAACGGCGTTTATCCAGCCTCGATGAAAGGATCGACGGGGCAGGGCCGCGTGAAAGAACTTTGCGAAACAGGGGTAAAAGAGGCGAAAACACTTTCGGTCTTTTCGAGGAGAGGGTTCGAATGAATAAAACATCGGTTTCCTTCGTTCCCGAGACCGTGGGATGCAAAGGATGCGGCTCGGACGCGATAACGTCGCGTGCCCCGCGCGCGAGATCCCAATGGAGGACACTCGTCATGCAAATTAACCGAGTCGATCCATCGATCGTTTCTTTGGCCGGACTCGCGCGTCCGCTTCTGAAAAGCTCCGACGATTCTGGACGATTCTTAACGATTCGAGGCGATTCGAGGCGAGCCGAAGCGATTTCTGGTGATTCAAGGCGAATCAAGACGAGTCAAGGCGAGTCAGGACGATTCTTAACGATTCAAGAATAAGTGAAGACAAGTCGGGACGATTCAAAGTTACGTCAAGGCGATTCAAGGATATCAAACAGAATCGAATGAAATATAAATTAAAATTAAACTCGTATGAAGTACAATAATTTTAATTTTAATATTCTCGAGTGCCGGGTATTAACGAATCTTCCGAAGCCAAAAAACTCAGCTGCCTTCGACAGCGAGATTTCCGAGGAGACGTACGAGTTACGTTGACGTTTCGTCCTCGATTCCACCGATTTCGTCGCGAATTAAACAGAGTCGCGGCGGCAATTAAGATCGAGAAGCTGCGATTTTAATCGCATTCAATTTTAGACGATTTCTTCCGGTAACCAAGACGAACGAGAGGGGGAAGATCGGACGAGTCCCGTAGGTGGCGGGGTTCCTTCGGCGAGACAAACCGTCGTAACATTAATATCAATGGAGTCCGGTTGGATCGGGACAAACGGAACACCGTGTAGATTGATACGAATGAGTTTTTCGCGCCGGTTAAATTGGTAACGAAGACGAATGGAACACGTTGTGTACAGCCTGTTCTCTGTTGTTTGTCCGCAGGTCGCTATTCTGACGACCATGTTGGCGACGAGGAACTTTTCCAGTAAGTATGATGCACAGGGTAAGTACCTCCGGCCCTCTTCAGCGCTTCATGGACCACGACAGACAGTACTTTTATCATATATCTCCCATTAAATTTTACGCCCCCGCCGCCAACCCTTGTCTCTCTCTCTCTCTCTCTCTTTCTTTCTTTCTGTCGTTCTATTTCTGTATCTTCTTTCTCCTTCGCCCGACGTTTCTCTCTCTCTCTCTTACTCTCACTCTCTCTCTGTCTCTTTATACATTCCTGAATTCATATAACCCATAAAACCCAGCCCACGTTGTTCGTCCGTCTTGCACAGACACGCATACATACGTAAACATCCCTCATTTTCCCCTCCCTGTCTCTTTCTCTCTGTTTCTCAGTCTCTTTCTCTCTGTCTCTCTGTTTCTCTCTCTCTCTCTCTCTCTCTCTCTTTCTTTCTTTCTCCATTTCGCTCTGTATATACGTATATACATGAATAGGTGTGTGTAGATACATATATACCGAGGATAGTTGTTCATCAGCCCTTTCGTTCTTTTGAAGAGGTGCTTCAAGACGTGGCCGCGCACGCAGCTTTGCTCCCCTTATTAAGACGTTAGCAGCGTCCTCCGGCGCAGAGGGTGGCTCTACTCGGCTCGGCTCCGCTCGGCTCGGCTCGGAGAGGGTGGCTCGCGTGCACCCATCACCCTGCCGGCACGGGCACACCCGGAGAAGGATTAAGTAGAACGAAGATAGGCGTTCGCCAGCCGAGTAAACGAATTTCCCTCCGAGTTCCGCGGGATCCGGTTAACGGGCCGCCTCGAGGGCGACCCGGCGAAATTCATTTTCCGAGTCCTCTTCTTCTTCTTCTTCTTCTTCGCGGGCTTCTACCCTCGGCCTCGACAAATTCCGCGGGACCACGGCAACGCGCCGAAATCTCTTCGAAACGCAACGATTGGACGCGACGCAATCGCGTTCGCAATTGGCATGAGTTCTCGAGGAAGGGTTGGAGTCGCGGGACAAATTATCGGCTGGTTTTAAAAGCGATGCTATAGAGAGCGAACGGAATTTGGCTAAAGAAAGCGGTATTTTAATTTAAAAAAGAACAAATTGTCGAAGTAGCAATGAATTTGGCTCCGAGGACATTGAATCGGATTTCGAATCGGGAATCAATTAGATTCTAACGGTGCGGATCCTAGTCTCTAATTAGGACAAAATTTAGCTACAATTACGCAGAATTGGACGTGAAAAAATGTAACTATAACGGCGCGAATTCAGATTTTTAATTAGGAAAGAATTCATGTATTGAGCGCGAAATCAGATTTTCAATTAGGAAAGAATTGGGCAACGAAGTTCGTGACGACGGTCTACAAAAAGAACAAAATAGAACGATGGAGAAAGAGCGTGGCCACGTGACGAAGCACCGAGATCATTCCTGCTCGTGCACCGAACGATTTAGACTACCCGTTGATCCTACAGATCCATTCGATCGCGGAGCAGCGAGGTGAAATTTTCCCTGAGATTCGGCCTCGGTCGTGACTCGAATGAAAAGCGTCCTCTCGATTTTCCTGTTTGGAGAAATCCTCCCGAATTTCGGCCTCGCTGGCTCCGAGCGTCATTCTAGTCGTTCTCACACGCATATACTACATATCTACATAATATGTATACATATATATGTGTGTAGCACGCGTGTATATACATATCGTGTACTATCGTATGCATATACACGTCTATACATATATATATACCTATATATATATATACATATATATTATATATACCCGGTGTACCTCATAGTCGATGCACTTGGCTCGCACACCTCATATCCTGCAAGGACTGTGCTACGTTACCCAGAAACTCTGTTCAGTTGTCTTCTCTCTTCTCTGTGTCCCTGAATGATTCTACTCTTGGAATTTCTTTGGATCCTCTGAATGCGCCTGCTGCGTCACGATTTATATAGATTCACGTACCTATATTCTACAGGGCGTCCCAAAAATGTCTCGCAATCTGGAAATGGCGGGTTTCTCGAATCATTTGAAGCAACTTCTTCCTTTACAAAAATGTTCTCCGAGGCACCGTTAACGAGTTACTAACGAAAAAACAGTGACCAATAAGAATCGAGTACGGCTGACGCAAGGCGGCCCAGCCAACCAGCGCACGAAGCTCAGTTCCGCCCATTGGCTCGGTCGCCTCGCGCCAGTCGAGCTCGCCTCTCATTGGTCACTGTTTTTCATTAATAAGTCGTTAACGGTGCCTCGGAGAATATTTTTGTAAAGGAAAAAGTTGCTTCAAATGACCTGAGGAACCCGCCATGTTCGGATTGCGAGACATTTTTGGGACACCCTGTATTATATATACATATGTAATCTCCATTATCGACACCAATGTATTCTGGGTAACGCGAATCGTCATCGCAGTGGACTCAAGCAGTTCTCTCAATCTCCTCATTTCATGCTCATCGGTCGACGAGCAACCGAGCATCACATGCGTCGGCTCATGCTTCGTGTCATGCTTCGTCGCTTTTCTCCGGGCATATACATCGCGTTCGCCAGAAAATAGACAAAAGGGAACAGCCGATTCATTCGATCCAAGCGCCGATCTCTCGGCCGTTTCGTTTCGTTTTTCCGAATTTCGGGCGATCCGAGAGCATCGATCTCTCGATTCTTGGGGCTGGGAATTACACTCCACGGCAAGATTGCAGCGTCGGCTATTTTTTACCTTAGAAATCTTCGATCTTTGAACAGTCTTGAAAGCTGTCGCGGGATCGCGATCCTTTAAAAAATTGAATCTCGAAGTTCCTGCGTCACGAATCGGAGGGGATGTTCGTGGTACCGAAAGAGCGCGAAGTTCAACGTTCTTTGTAGAGTTGCGAAAATTTTTCTCGAACGTGCTGTTTATGTCGTTGCAAAGCTCGGACCTTCCTCTTTAATTTGAGAGTAGAATGAAGTCGCTACGATTTTTTCTCGCGAAATTATGGCACTTTAACGTAGCCCCTACATTTTTACGACGACGTCGGCGAATATTCAGGCAGCATCGAGTTACAGCCGATCAATGATTACCGATGCTTTAATCTTGCTGTCGAGTGTATCAGAATTGTGGTCGACGAGGATCATAATAAATCTCGACTGGTTTTAAAGCTCGAAGCCTCCACCTTCGCAGTTCGTCGATGCTTTCGCAAACTCATAGCAAACGGAGAACCGAAGACTCGCTCGAAAACGTGACGATTTGAAACGCCTCCGACCCCGCTGAAAAACATGTTCGACGAATAAATCGCCCACGGGTTTGAAGATCGAAGCTTCCTCTTTACAACGACACCTCAAAACTTGGCGCACTACTTCTTCCAATCGTTTCACGAAACAGAAACGAGGAGCAAGTTCGCTCGCGTAACGCAGCGATACAGCATCGTTCGAAGTTTAATAAAGCGGCTGAAAAAAATCGTACATCAAAGTTTGAGGAGTTGTTGCAAAGGGGAGACTTCGCTGTTGAAATCTGTATCAGAATCGGTCATGAAAAAAATTGTCCAGCGTATCTGCAGACGTTCGAATCCGCAACGTTCTCCAGAAAGAGCGCGGTTTTCCATCTTCTGTTTTCCATCTGTTACACGATGCGAAAACACGTTACAGGAGAAATGAACGATGCTCAGCGCAAGTAGAAGCTCCGAGCTTTGAAACGAGCCCCGGGGATTGATCATCGAACGACGCGCTTTCGCGAAACGACGACAGTTCGATCACGAGAATTCGCGAGAAATCAGAAATAAAGCGTGACGCTTTTCGCATCGACCGCATCTTGTCTTGAGCACCGAAAACGCAACTGTTTCGGTCCACTAGCGAGAAAATTGCCCAAGAACCGTCTTGGCTGTGCTACCTGTGCGTTCGACATTCGGTTTCGCTGGAACACGAGGACGCATCGGTGTCCCAGACTTCCGTTTTCCCGCGGTGTTCCTGTCGCGATCTCGTCGCGTTTGCGATCCGAAATCATTACCATCGTTTGCTCATTCGTCATTTGCTTAATTTGTTTAATTCGCGAGAACCGTCGCGGCCATTTTAAAACGAATTTTATAACTTGTAATCTCGCGATCGCACTCGTTTAGATCTTTTTACCGGGGACACGCAACGTTCGCGCGAGATCGCATACGAATATCGAGGAGAGCGGTTCACGTCCTCTGTGTTTGTCGTGTTGTTCTCTGTGTACGTTTGTATATAGATACACACAGACGCACACACACACACACACAAACACACACGGAGGAGACACGCGCACGCAGCAGCAGACAGACACGGAGATATGCATACGTACACACAAGCAAAAACCCACTTGTTAGTTCACACAGCGTCCGTCCTGCCCCCCCCCCCCTGTCACCCCTGTACCATAGATGCTCGAACGAAACAGTATTATAATGTATTCTGTGTATCCGTATGCAGCTGCCGCGCTCTCCTGCACTTGCCGCACTTGTGCGTGTACCTGTTATACATACGTCCTCGGCAAAGTGTACGAGCACTGCGGAAGCAGCGTGTAACCCTTTAGAACGCTCTAGCCCCGTACGTTTGGTCGTGTAGAGAAGCATCTTGCATCCGTAGAACGGAGTCGGGGCTTCGTTTCGATCGACCGACCGATTTTATTCGCTTTTTTTTCGCAATTTTATTCGGTTCTCGCGGAAGTCGTTTCGTTTTGCCGAATAGACAGCTTGCGAACGAACCGGAATCGCGCTTTCGCGATAACCCGATAGATCGCTTGGAAGAACATCGATTTCTAGAGAACGATCACATTTTTCTAGACGATCGGGAAGAAACTAGCGAATGCTAACTTCCGTGATAACTGATAGTATAACTTCTGTGAACCGCGCGCGAAAGGCGAACGAAACGTGGAAAGAACACAGTTCTCGCGATCGTACGACTCGTTTTTTAACCGACTTGAATCCGATCGAGGAAGCCCGACTCCGCGTTTGAAACACCATAAACCCGGTACACACGGCAAACCGACACTGTCAACCAACCCATCGTCACCCCGATTAGGCGACTTGACTGCGATTTATATATCTCTATATATGTATTTATTTACGT